AAAGGCTGGTTTTGGACAGAGACTGAAGAGCTTTGAATATCTTAAGGAGCCTGGACTTGATCCTAAAGGCCACGGGGTGCCAACTTTTGAATATTTCACTCCCTTCCATAGACCCTTTTTTTACTTTATCCCAGAAGGTTCCAAACTTGGGCATTGTCTTCTGTCTTCCTTCAAATGTAGATCTACTACTCCTCAACTCCTCCCCCACACCCATCAGACTCTCATCTAATTCTCTTCCAACTTTGTAGTCAAAAGAAAAAAAAAATGAGCACGAACTTTGAATTAAAAGCTCAATTAAGAAAGGGCCTGGCAACTTGACACGGAGTGGTGTGGACTTGGTTGTTTGCCGTGGTCTCCAGTGGGTTTCCTAGAAGAGTGTTCTTACAAAGAGGAGAATGCATGTGTGTGAAGAGGGTTTGTGTGTGTGTGAGTGTGTGTGTGTGTGTGTATGTGGGGAAAGCAGATTTCTAAGAATATCTGGCAGGCTGATGATAAGTTTGCCAAGGAGATTTATGCTGTCTTTCTTGGATCCCAGGATGTTGAAACACAGTGATGGCTCTTTTCTAACTCACTTAGGAAGTTTTCTAGGAGAGCATATACGCATACACACACACACACACACACATACATACACATATATGAACACATACACAACATATACATACATATACATATATAGTAAAATATGACCTAGGAAAGATTTTTTTTCCTAGTCTTCATGAAGGTATTTATTCAGGGGTTGTTAGCACGGTTATTTGGTTTTCCTTCAGCATATACACCTGTTAAAGATTTTTTTTTTCTTGGTGAATAGGTTGAGTCTGCAGAGCTCTGTCTTTTTTCCTTGGCATTATTTCGCTCTTCACCCAATATATTTTTGAACTAGACGGCACCTGCCTTCTCCTTTTTAGGGGTTGTATGCTATATTGTAGAAAGGGAGTGGGCTAGGGGAGAGGTGGGGGAAGCAAATCATATCCATCTGAGTAAAATGTTGTCTTCCTAATATCATCCTCTTGCTGGAAAAGAATGTTATGGATGAGCCCCCAGAGGTGCAGCAGCCCTGGGCGGACAGAGCACGGCTGGAAGCACATCTGCACAGGCAGCGAGTGAAGTGGCATTTTACTGTACTTCTGATCTCCAGACTAAAGGTAGACAGTGATTCTACGTGAGGACCGGAGGTCTGTGCAGGACGTCCCGAGCCGCGACGCGGGCTGGCTGGGGAGCAGGATGAAGACCGCGGCCAGGCTGCAGAGGGCAGTGTGAGACCGTGGCGCGCCGGCCCTGGCGCAGGGCCAGTGCCGCTCCTAATGTAGGCCACCTGCGGTGTTTCAAGATAAATTATGTTAGATGGGGAAACTGGTCTATTGGATTTGCAGTAAATGTGTGCTAGTTAGCTTTACCCCAAAGAAAGTCTTTCTAGGATTTTCCCCTCTCCACCAATTTCAAGACATAAAGTATTAAGACTGGGGCTGAGTGACAAACCTGTACTCTCTTCACTTTTCAGGGATGTGAATGTCTCCTGACAAGATGATATTTAATGCCTTATGATGCATTGAAATTTAACTGTACTGGGTGTTAATGCAGCTTTGGGTATGCAGAGACACTGCTTTAATCATAATAATAACTCAGGCAACTTTTAAGTTTTTTTTTCTGGAATAATAGGAGCTGTAGCAAGTTTGCTGCAGGAGCCTTTAGCTCAAGCTCTGGGTGCTCAGGGTCCTCCGAAGGTGGGCTTCCCGGAGCGGAGGAGGCTGGTGGGTCTTAGAAAGGTGGCCGGTCTGGCATAGAGGTTAAGTGCATGCTTTAGAGCCAAACAGAACCTTCTGGGTGAAATCTGCCTCTCTAATTTACTAGCTATCACCTCAGTTTCCTTCCCCATAGAGCTGCGATAATCCTGATAGGGATTTTCTAGAGGTGTTGGATTGAGTGAGATGGTGAGATCGTATGTGTGAGATGCTTAGCACAGTGACCCATACTAGGGATTATCCAAAATATGGTGTCATTGCTAGCATTCAATTCGCAAATATTTATTGAGCACCTACTAGGGGATTTGACGTGGACAATGTCAACAAGATCCTTACCCTCTGGCCTAGTAAGAAGGCCAGATATTGAGCACTTACTACAGGGCAGTGCTTACAGGTGCATGGCAAGGCGATGGGCAGCACGGACTCTGGTGCCAGAGTGCCTGGGTTTGGATCCTGCTCTGTTGCGTCTGGCTGTGTGGCCCTCGGAAAGTCACAGACCTTGCTAGTACCTACCTCACGGGGCATCACAAGGGTTAAATGTGTTGACACTTATGAAGTCTTAGAATGACGACTGGCATGTGGGAAGTGTCAGCATTATATAACTGCTTATTGTCACTGAGTGCGATGAGCTTTGAAAGGAAGATCAGGATGCTGTGAAAGTGTGTCCGTAGAAAGACCTCAGTGAATTTCATCCAAGTGAAATTCCGCTAAGGTGGGTAATGAGTCACAAAGTAAATGAGGGTGAAAAAAGGAAAGGTAGATTTATATGTGTTCTTATGAGACAATCTCCAAGATACAAACTTAAGGATAAAAAGCAATGGAGCAGGCCAGCATGCACAGCATGGCCCCAATTAGGTAAAAAAATTATATTTATTAATCTTTCATCTATTTATGCAACTTTGTGCCTGTCATCTATCAATTATCTATCTACATATCTATATATCTATATATCTTTCTATTGATGTGTTTACTCATACACTGTTTTACTCACTAAGAGATTCCTAATGGTATTGCCTGGAGGGGGTGATCTGAGGGATTGTAATGGGGAGAAGGCCTATTTTTGGACTGTTTGAAGTTTCTGAGTATTTATTACTTCTTAGCTTAAGAAAACAAACTAGAGAAATGATCAGGTAAGAAGATACACCTCTTTATAATCTTCAGGCTAAAGGCAAATAGTAAAACGAGGGCTAGTTTCAGGTTTTGGGTAATGGGAGTCCATGCTGCTGGGTCCCTCTGGGAGTGGGAGAAGAGCCCTGTCCCCACAGGACTCTTCAGTCAGATGATGAGTTCATAGGTTATTCCTAAAGCACAGCTTTTTCGCTCATCCTCACACTTCTCTCGGGCTACCCTCTGGCCTCCCAGATTGTGTTCTCTGGGAAAATATTGTTTCACACCCCTCACTTTAACCTGATTTTACTGTCTCTGTTACTTTTGGGACTAAAATAGATAGCAGTTCATAATGAGAAGAAACCTTTGGCCCTCAAACTTTTGTAGGCAGGAAGCAGGGTATGAACGCTACTCAGCTGCAAACTCAGGCCGTTTCTTACAGAAAAAAGACGACTCAAAAGGCAGAGTTGAGAGCCCAGTGGGCGGGGTCAGGGGCTGTGGACAATCAGTCATTCCCCAGGAGCAGTCTTGGGCCCTAATCAAGGAGTCTATGACTTGTGGCAGGCTGGATTTCAAAACTGCTGTGGACTAGTGATTGCTATGTCCCTTCCATTCCCCCACTTTTTGAGCAGGAGTGTCTATTCGATTGTCCTAGCCAGATTTCACCATTGCTGGGCATGTTAGGGGCAGATGATTTGTCTCTTTAGTTCAAAGGTCTTCAAAATCAACAGGAACTGTACTCTAGGCACCACACCTGACAGCCACACCTGAGGAGCATCATCTATACAGGGGCCTGATGCAGATGAATAGATGCTGGACCTTGAACCTGAGTATGATACTGTAATGGGATGAGACTGGCTCTTAGAAAGGAATGAGTCCATTTGTGTTTTATAGGAATGTAAATGACCTATGGCCAGAGGGTAGGCCACAGAAGCTAAAACAAAAAGGCCTCAAATTCTTTGACACTGTTCTTATCGAGAGGCAGATCTGCTCTCTTTCTCAGTGGTGTGCTGGAGCTGGCTCACACCCACTCCTGAGAAACAACTGTGCACATCTTGTCCCAGCAGCCTGTTCAGTGATGTCCTGCTAGTAGCTTAAAATCAGCCATAGTGGCAGTTTTTACACCACAGAAATTGGCAAATACTAAAAACCAGGACTTTCTACCTGGAGAGCTGGTTGCCAAACATTGATCAGCATACAATTGCCTATATTGAAAAATTTCCAGGATGTTGGTAGGGGCAAGGGTGAGTAGAGTTTGATTGGCTGTAGCCCTCCCTCTCAACTTATACTCACTACTTAGAAACATTTGCAGGGCCTGGAAGGAGAAGCAGCCAGCATTATCTAAGTGGGTTAAGTCATTCATCTGGGAGAGATGACAATTCTCTAAATTTTGCATTCACAACTATTACTTTACGTGATGGATGAGTTAACCCAGCAATTCTCAAGAGTGTAGTCTAGGGACCCCTTTAGGAGGGGGGTCTCCAAAATCAAAACTATTGCTTTCATAATAATACTAAGATATCATTTGCCTTTCTTACTGTTATTTTCTCATGAAAATTTAGTGGAGTTTTCCATTACACATTTGAAAGATCTCATAACTCAATAAACACAATATTTTCCAAAAGGCCAAAAGATGATGTCATAAAATTATGTATGGATAAAAGTTCCATTTGAAGTATAGGATAGACTAATGTACATTAATGTAACAGAATCAATAAAGTTTATTGATATGGTTTCAGATTCTTCATTAGCACTAGTGAATGAATTTTGGTGTAATACTAAATCAGCACTGTTGAGTTTTGGTGTAATGTCAAAGAAGAATATCCACAATAATATGAAAAGGCTTAAAATACATACTCTTTTCCCATCTCCTTACACTTCCGCATGTGGCCAGATTTTCTTCATATATTTCAATCAAAAGAACAGATCTCAACAGACCAAATATTGAAGCAGACATAGGAATTCAGCTACTTCCATTAAGCTAAGCAAAGAGATTTTAAAAATCTAAAATAACATCACTCTTCCCACTAGTTTATTGTTTTAATTAATATAGTTATTTTTTATTAAAATGCTATTTATGCTAACATGAATGGTTTTTTTGTTATTTTCAAAATATTTCATTTTCATTCCTAATACGGTAAAGATAATAGATATAACCTATATAAATATAAGTTATTTGGGGACATTGGCTATTTTCAGAGTGTAAAAGGGTCCTGAGGCTAAGGGGAGGAGAACCACTGGATGACCCATCACCACTGTCTGCACAGCAGCCGTTAGCTTGCAGGAGGGTGTAGATCCCATCCTTGGATTGGTGGGAGGAGGGAAAGTGAGTAGTGCTGTTAAGCAGGTAAAAGGACTCACAGGACAAATCTTAACTAATTTTTCAGAAATGAGAAACTGCGTTCTAGGGGAGCTAAGAGACTTTTCCAGAGATACCTCATATTTAGCTGGTTGGGGAGGAGCCAGAGGAACCCCACGTTTGACATTTGTTTGCTGTGTCTGTTCTCTCAGGATGCTCGTAGGGTACCACACACAGCTAGATGCTCGGCAGGTGACTTCCGATGCTGGGGATGATCCTGGGGACACCCGGAGCATCCTCACCTTCGTGGGGAAGCTCTGGCTCTCAATGGGCTTCACGTGAAACACAGGCCAGCTTGGCACTTATGAGCTGTGAGTGACACTTTACAGATCCTCAAATACCAAGAGATTTAGTCACAGATTTAGTAATTTCTCTGCTCTCAATACTATATTTCCTGAGGACCTCAGCAATTCCTACCCATATTCTTGGTGTTAATAGGGGCAGCCTGGAAGGCTCCAGGGAAGCTTGGCAGTACAATGGCTGCTTACAAATACCAGCCGCCCTGCTCCTACTCTATGACTGCTACTGCTACTGCTGCGGCTTAACGCCTCCTGAGCACTTGCTGTTTCCCAAATGCTGTACGTTGGCCCACACCACAGTAGACCTCAGAGCTCACCAGGGGCTGGAGAAGGGCACCAGCCGTCACCGCAGATCGGAGTCACTGTCTGGCCCGGGGTTGCGATGGATGGTATGGCAAAATGCTCGACTGTGATCCAGACAGCTGAGCGGATGTACTCACCTTTTCCCTCTTGGTCTTTTTGATATACAAAACAAAACAAAACAAAACAAAACAAAATCCAAGCCCAGACCAAAGCAAGGATTTTCAGTCCGGGGATATCTGGTTTGTAAAGGCTTCTAGCTTAAAGATTGCAATGTTCTGAAGGTCTGTGTCCCCCTCAAATTCATATGTTGAAAATCCTAACCCCTAGGGTGATGGTGTTAAGAGGTGGGGCCTTTGGCACATAATTAGGTCCTGAGAGTTGGACCCTCAAGAATGGGATTAGTCCCCTCATAGAAGAGACCCCAAAGAGCTAGCTCACCCGTTCTGCCATGTGAGGACAAAGAAAGAACCAGGAAATGGGTCCTCATCAGACACCAAAACTGCAGGCACCTTGATATCAGACTTCCAGGCTCTAGAATGGTTAGAAATAAACCTCTGACTTTTAGAAGCTACCCAGTCTATGGTCTTTTGTTATAGCAGCTCACACAGACTCAAATAAAAGCCAGCGTGAAGCATTCCTCTTTCTCTTGTACTTGGAGAAACGCAGAGGACCAGGCAATGAGTCGTGCTGATCTCTCCCTGTTTCATTTCAGTACGGGGGAAGGGAGGCAGGGCGGGCCCCGAACCCCTCCCTGGGATGTGCCCTCCTGAGAAATAACAGCTTTCTTCATTTCTTCAGTTACACGGGGATGTGGGACAGGCATTGGTTGTTTACTTGTTATTTGAAAGCTACAAAAGGGTCTGCGTGACCCCAAGTTTTCCCAACAGGCCTTCTGTGGTGCCTGCCACGCCCACCATTAGCAGAGCTCCTCGGGGACCTTTGGGAGCCGTGTTCACTTTCGCTGAGTGGACACATTTTCACGCTCATTTGCACACTTTCGTCTCAGGAATTGGTCCCCGTTCAGCACGCCACCCCTCTCCCAGTGGCTGGCACCCAGTGCTCTCCAGCTGCCCTGAGTCCCCCGCCAAGTCCCTCGCCACCTGACACGTGACCGTCCCTGACCTTAATCCTCACACTGAGACTTATCTGCCCCATGTCCCAGTTCCTCTGACCCTTTCCCTGGCCTCTAAGTCATTAGCAGGTAGCAAATGGCTATTCATTAGATCTGGGGTTTTAAACTGTGTGCTAAAGAGCAAAACAGGTCCCACAATAGTGCCTTTGGGGCCACTGTAGCGCTCAGAGAGGAGCAGGATGGGTGTGCCCTGGGCACAGGGTCCCATCATACCAGCAAGGTGCCACTTGTGTGTTTTTATAGCGCTACCTCCTTATAAGTGTCCCTTTGAAGGGTCTGATTGCTTTAAAAAAATACGTGGTGAGCATTTCATGAGACTAAGTTAACTTGTGCAAATGAGCACGGGAGCATCAGACGGGTCCAGTCAGCTACCCTCTAATAACCTAGAGGACAAGGAAGTGTCAGTGGCTACCCTGCGCCTCCTCTTCACCCTTTGCATTCAGATGTCGAATGTGACTCGGCACAGTTAGCAAAAATTATAGAGATTTAAATTACTCTTTGAACGTATCAATAATTTGAAATAGAAAATAATCCAAATAAATAAGTTTGTATGAAAAGAAACTCCAGTTTTTTATTCTACTGCCACGCTTTGTAAAATCTGGGGTATTTAAAAAATTAAATCCCGAGTAGAATAAAGGAATCGAGAAAAAAGCAAGCGAGTGCAAAGGGTTAACTTTGCCTACAGCATGCCCTTCTCTGAGATGCAGGTCCCTGTCACCGAGGGAACTCGAGGGGAAAACAATCACATAGAGTTTCATACAAGTGAAGGACCTTATGGCTGAGACATATTCCTTCATCTTGGTCTTTTTTCAAAAACTGTTTTTACTGTGGAATAAACCCACAAATGACAAGGTGCCCAAAACAAGGTGCATTGTTTAAAAATTGATCACGAAGTGATCACTCACGTAACCACCACCCAGGTCAAGAACTAGGACATGACCTCTTCTTCAAAGTCTCCTCAGCCCTGCTGCTTCTACTTGTCACAGCCCTGCCAGCTCCACACAAAAACTAACCCCTATCCCTAAGCTTTATGGTAATCACTTGCTGGCTTTTCACCTTAGCAGTCAGCCCCTCGGCATTGCAGTTTAGTCTTGCCTGTTTCTGAACTTTATATTAATGGAGAAATAAAATCTAGCTTCTTTTGCTAAATATTATCATCTTCCTTTCTTCCTCACTACTCCCCTTCCCCAAGAAATACCTTCTATAAATCTGTGGAAGGATCGCGGTAACATTGCTACATTATTAGACTGAATAATGAGACAAAGTATTAATAGTCAAATAACAACGACTCTTAACAAATGTCTCTAGCTTGGAGGCAATTACAGTGGGTGAGTATTAAAGTAAATGCAGTGTTGCCATCATTAGTATTTATGAAAGAATTTTCATGGGAAGGACTTTCTATTTTAACTTCACAGATGCTTACCAGTCTTGAGAAGCAGGTATATGGCAAACAGAAGTGTCTGCAGCTTCTTCATCTTTCTTTCTTTCTTCTTCTTCTAAAATATCCTCGGTAAGGACACAAAGGGACATATATTATTCTAGGGTTGCCCGGAAAGACAAGGGCAACTGGGAACGTGAGCATGCCCCTCTGACTTGGGTCTGGCCTTCTGCCCCCTCGGCCCCTACCTCTCTCTGATGGTGAATGTTGAGAGACGGTGATGGATGGTTTGTCACAAATAGTTTTCAATTTACCAAAGTGCGCCTGGCTTTCCCTGGACCTCTTTGAAATGCTTTTAGAGCAACATGGAGAATGGAATTCAACAATTCTCCACAGCTGCAGTCAGAATACAGTGACCCCAGGAGCAGCTGGGGGCGGTTATTTTCATGTTTTATACTTGCTCTTTCCTTAAAAGCCCTTTCAGAAGATTCTGGAAAGTCCTGCAACATCCACATTACGAGAAACCGCGTCCGGGGCAGACTCTTGGATTCTAGGCCCTCGTCCAAAATTTGGCAAATATTTGTCTCCACTTCTCACCAGCAACATGTTCTTTCAGAATTGCCCTCGCTGTGCCTCCCACCCTAACCCGACGGGCCCTCACGTGGGAGCGCTTGTCCTGTGGCAGCTGTTTAGTGAGGGGGACCTGCAGAGAGAAGTCTGGGTTCTGGCATCTGCTTTAATCAGGCCCCTGACCTTGTCCCAACATTTCTCTCTTCTGGCCTTAGTTTCCTGCATCTGTAAAATAAGGAGGTTGGACAGATCTCAGAAGGCCCTTTCTGTAGGGAGTTAGTGGTGATATTTTAAGGCAATAACTTGATTACAGCAGCAGGCAGAGACATTTGCTTTGGCAAGGTTGTTTTTACGTGGAAATGGAATAGTAGGCAGAACAAGTAGCCTCTCCCAAAGCAAGCTTTAATGGATGACGAAGGACTCTAGTATAAAACAGAACAGAACATAGCACACCCCCAATCTTTCCCCCAACAAATACACAATTCTTGCACTTCTAGCTACCGATTACAGTGCCAGAAATGTCACCAATAGATCCTTCCTTTTCCTTTTGAAGATTTTGTGATTTTTCTAGGGTTTTTCTAGGGTTTTTCTAGGGTTAAGTATTTTAAAACATTGCAAATGTTTCTATAAAGGAAGAATCTATAATGTTCTTATCAATGGGATTAGTGGACTTGACAAGGGGCAGAGACATCAGAGCCATCTGCAGTTGCATGCTTGTGAAGCAGGTCAGGGCAGCTCCCCAGCTGGAAGGGGCATGTTCTAAACCAACACTCCTCAGACTTCGGTGAGCCTATGAATGACCTGGGGGAGCTTGTACAACATAAATTCTGACTCAGTAAGTTCTGCAAGGGACCTGAGAATCTGCATTTCTAACAAGCTCGCAGGTGATGTCGATGCTGCTGGTCTGCAGAATGTATCTCCAGTAGCAAGAGTCTGTAGCATGTGGCCTTGTCTCTTGAACATAGCTAACCAGACTGCAGGGGTTCGGTGCTTGGCTTCAAGCTGGCCACTGTGTAAGCTCGTCTCTGATCAAAAAGGGATAAGGGGCCAGTCAGGAATTGAAACAGGAGAGATGGGAAGTGGTGTCAGAAGTAGAAGTGGAAAAATCTAAAGAAATGCAGAGATACACAGAGAGAACCTGACTCACTTTGTTAATAGAGCCTGAGAGACTGTCTTCTACAGGCATGAGTTGTCAGTCTGGATCTTGAACATTGAGTGACCTTCTGGTTCCTGTCTCTACCACTCATGCTGGACTCTACTTCCTGTTTATCCATCTGGCCTGGCTGCTGAGATATTTTCAAGGTTCCTGTGGGTCAACCAGGTAACTGAGGTTCCTGTTGAATCCTGGAGACTCCAGGTTAAAAAGAGAAATGTGAAGTTTGAGTGGTGATGTACACCTGGGTAGTGTCTCACAGGGAGGGGCCTTCAGATTGCTGCTTGGGTTGCTTGAAAGCTTTGGACATCTGAAGGCAGAGGTTTTGTATGTGGATTGAGAGGGGATGCAGAGATACCAGAGGACCAAGAAGAGTCAGATCTCGTAATTGTCCAGGGCTGCTCAAGAATTTTGTTAGTATTGCCAATCTGTTTGCAGGCATTTGGATTATCTATTCCCCTGTAATTTTCTAGAATGTTTTTGTTTCCCCTCCCTTCTCATGGCTGCTGAGAGAGCAATGACACTTACACAACATGACTCTCACCCTTGCCATGGTAGATTGGCTCAGAAGTGGACAGCTGACCCAAGTTGGGCCATTGTGCTTTTTTTTTCTCAAGAGTTTGAAATTGGGTCTGGAAGTTAATTTAGACTCCTGGTATCAGGATCTGTGTTATGTAAAACTCAGAAGCCATTGAAAAATGTTTTCTACAACATGGTTTGGCAAATAGGAAGAGTAACTCTACAATATGACAGAGGAAATGGGGCAGAAACACTGAAAACAAATGAAACACAGAGAAGAAAAAAACTGGTTCCCTACATGACTCCAGTTCTTGTTCTAAATGGTTTCTGAGACTCAGTTGCATCCAACCTTGTATTCCCTGAGCTATTCCAATATCCTTTCAACAAATTATTGTTTGTGGTTTAAGCCATTGCAAATGGGGATCTGTTACTTGCACCTGAGAAAGTCCTAACTAAAACACCCTTTTAGATAAGGTCTGCTGGAGTTGAGGCAGACCCTCCTGGTTTAACTGATGATGGATGGAAGGTGGTGGGCCCAGATCAAAATGGAGAGCTCTACTTCTCCCTGTTTATCAATAGTCTCATGACTGCTGTCTTGAAGGATGTTCACCAGAGATTCCATTCATCTACCTATCTACCCATCCACCCATCTACTTATCCATCCATCTAGCCATATATTCATTTATCCCTCTATCCACTATCATCTATCTAATAAAGATTTCCTGATCCCCTCCTTGGGCCAGGCTCTCTGCTAGTGTCCACTTGGTGACCTTTGGTTGCTCATATTCGTTTTATGCCCATATTTAGCATATGAGATGATTTATGCTAAGTCCTAAAACCACAGTAATGCAGAACAGTCTCACTGCATCACAGTTTGATTTGCCTTTCCCAATATGTCCCTCTATTTTGTGCAAACGTGAAATGTGTAACTAATACAATTCCCTCTTGGGAGATGTCTTACATCTAATATCCCAAATGCATTAGGTGCTCAATTTTGTTTTTATTTGAAATGGAGAAAGGTGGATCAGAGTCCCTGTCCAGAGACAAAACTGCAGACACCCATTCCTGTTGCTATACTTGGGACCTATTGGCTCTTTGCCCCAAGTTTTTTTATTTTCTTTTTGTCTTTGAAGGCTCAGGTGCTAGTTGAGAAGGTGACATAGGTCAGCTTGGTTTTTAGCCTTCCTAACCTCTGTTAGACCATAGATCTTTTCCAAGGATCCTGGGTTCCCTAGAATCACTCAGTTTCATTTCTCTTCTGCTGAAGACTCCCATGAGGGGAAATTTTCATCTTTGGAGTTAAGCCGGGTCCCTAAGCCGAAGCTTCTCCTGTAAACAAACCTCTTCAGGAGTCCTTGCCAAGAGACCTGGACTGTGAGAATAAAGCAAAAAGTGAAGGCAGGTTGGTTTTAGCATGCCTCGTGTTAGCTGGTTGTAGATGATCTCAGAATCCTGAGACAGAACTGATAAGCCTCAGGGCTTCTCTTGCCCCTGAGATCCATAGAGAGTCAGCTTACTTGAAATGTAAATATTCAAGCCTTTACAGGAGCAAAAGAGAAGCTGTCTTGTATATTGGGATATGATCTAGGTATAGCAGTGGCTCTCAGCCTTGAATCACTCGGGGAGCTTTTGAAAAGCAATGATGTTGGGCTTCACCAGAGCAAGTGAATTAGAATCTCTAGGGCTGGAGTCCAGGAGGGGTGCTATCGAAATCTCCCCCGGGTGTTTTTGTGTCAAAGTCAAGGGTGAGAACTCTTGGTTTAAGAGATAAATGAGAAATGGCCATCTGAAATGAGCACATGAGGAAAGTCTGTGATTATGGCTACTCTCCCCAGAGAGTTATATATTTGAAGCCTTTCTTAGTAGGGCAGAGAAGCCAGGAGGACCTGGAGTGCACTATTACTGAGGGTTCCAGCTTACTTTATGCCTACAAGCTGTATAATTATTGTAATAAATGCTAGACCTGTAAGAGATAACCACCAAAAGCCTGGATCAGCCAGAGCCTTAGAATGTTCTGGTATTCAGGAAGTACCATTGCCCTGTTGGTACCTCTTGCGAGAGGAGTCGAGGTAGAAATGACCAGGGGAGTGGAAGAGGCTGCTACCAAGACTGGGGGGTATGTGGGGGCCAGACCTGAGCAGCCGTGGATTCCGTGTGCTGTGTAATGAGCCCCGAAGCAGAAACACACCACAGCTGTGCAGAGAGGTGACCCGGTGGGCCGTCTGTCTCCTGCATCAGTGTTGGCCCAGAGGCTGGGTGGGCGGCTATGTCTGATTCTTCACTTGAGGAATTCCATGATAAATGTGAAAAAGGGGTTGTGATCTTTCAAGGTTTATATATAGAGAGTTGACAGTCCCTCACTAGTTTTCATACTCATGATGGCATTTGATCCCCAGACCCCCTAGGAAGGGAGGCAGAGAGCTGGGCAGGAACGGGTGGGAAACCTCAGCCTCAGTCACTGGTGGCCTCTTTTATGTCACCTGGGCAGGAAGGACAGGGGTTGTGGCTTCTCTTTGGGGCCATAAGAACAGAATTTTCTCGGGAGCCCCTCACAGGTCAGGTTAAGATCATTAGAAATCATAAGCATTTTAGTATCTCCCTTACCATAGGTAATTGAGAATAAAATAATACTAAGCTATATGATAAATATAAATAAAGCTAACAGAATTCTTATATGATTACTTGGGTGTTTTTTCATTTGTTAAAGTATCAATTCTTTTTCAAAAATCTTTTCTCACACTCTTTCTGGAGTACTTGGCATTGCTGGTGCCTTCAGCACGTGCCCAGAGGCCAGCTGGGCCCACTGGGCCATGTGGCATCAACACCTGGCCATGTGCTCTCAGTGAGACCAGCAGGAGGCCCCCTTTCCCCTGAAGATGCCCAGCCCTGGACTGGATGGGGAGTGGGCTGGCTGGCCCCCGAGCCTGTTTCCTGCCATTTTCCTAATAATGGGCAAGACGAGCAAATCAATGACCCCTGCTTCCTCATTCACCCTCATTAACTTGGGGGGAAGTGTGAGCTCTTAGAAAGAGCAGTGGTTTGGAGACAGCAGACCTGGATTTCAACCCGGGCTCTGTCCCTGGCACTCTTTGCCCCTCTTCACCGGTTAAATGGTGTCGCTGCCGACCTCGGGGGACTGTGAGGACTAGATGGTGAGGAACAAGAGGGCAAGCCTCTTGGTCATCTGCTTACTACACATTGAGTATCCTTTATTCAAAGTGCTTGGGACCACAACTGTTTAGAATTTGGGGATATTTGCATTGTACACTTACTGGTTCAGCATCCCTAGTCTTAAAATCTGAAATCTGAAATGCTCCAGTGAGCACTTCCTTTGAGTGTCATGTCAGTGCCCAAAAAGTTTCAGATTTTGGGCCTTCAGATTAGGGATACTCAACCTGTGTGATACTCTTGGTGCCTGCAGAGTGCCCAGCACACAGTGAGGACTTAATCAATATTTACTGAGTGTGTGATCTCCTTATTCCCATTCTCGTTCTCAGAGCTATACTCCCATTGCGAAGGTGGATAATAGCGTGAAAGTTCTTGATTGCTCACTAATGAGTGAGTGGAGTGGGTGGAGACCTGCCTCTCCATGATGGCTGGAATGTCCGAGGAAAGTGCTCCAAGGGGATGGTCCATTAGCACTTTCTGTTTGGAGGCCAGGAATGGGAACTTATGGCACTGAATCTGAACTTGTGCTACAGCGTGTTTTATGCCTGTGGTAGTAGATATTTAAATAACTATTTACTGACGGATTTACTGCAGACTCATAGACAGTGGTGTTGATTTGAGTAGCTTTGTTCCAGCAAGGCACTAGGGTAAGAGCCATGATAAGAGTCCGGCCTGAGGTGGTAGGAGCTACACACTGTTGACATGGTTTTATTTTTATCCAGGTATGGAGTGGTGAGATGGTCACTCACCAGGTTACTGTTTGTAAGATAATGGGAGCTGAGTTTTGGGTCCCGTCTTCTCTATCCTAACTCTGTCACCCTCGCTCAGGGATGGGGAAGGCACAGGGCAGGGGTGGAAAGGGGGTGATTGGGATGGAAGGATCTAGAATGGGCCTCTCTTGGTATGCAACTGCTGTGCTGCCAAGTTTGGTTTTGGGGGCTGGAGTCTGTGGGCTGATACGTTCTCACTTGGGAATGAAGGGAAAGAATTCTAACACCTCAAGGAGGGTGGGCGTGCTGGCTCGCCACCCGAGCCATTCAGAATAGTCTTCAAAAGCTTCACCATGAGCCACTTCTAGTTTTCCTTGTTTGAGATCCTTGGAATCCTGGAGAAGTGTCGTGTTTCAGGGAAGCTGCAAGAGCTCCAGGCTTTCAGGGTACATCTTCTGGTCAAGTGTTTCGCTGGTGGCTCTTTAGAGGGAAACAGAAGGAAGATTTGGTGTTGGTGTTTAAGAAGTTGACATTCATTTTGCAGCTGGGATGGGTGGGCTGCGTTCTCCGTTCTTGTTGGGCTACCTCAGGGCTCAGAGCACTGCAGCTTCTCTAGGAAGAGCTGACAGTTTCTGGACTGGCCTTTGTTGTTTGGTTGGCAGGACTTTTGGTTTGTCTGTACCTCATCTGTGACCTGCGGGTGAATACCTGGCCACGCAAAGCACGTGATATTAAAGAGAGGTGAACCTGGGAATACAGACTAAAAAAACCAGCAACTTAATGTTAAGGAAGACTAGGGCTTTGGGAAAAGAGGAGATCCCAAAACTCAAACAAGAGATGGGGTATGTGTGGCTGCAACACTGTGGAGATATCAGTTATTACTCAGGTTGGGTGGAGAATGGAGACTCTTTCTGTGAAAAACACTCAAGAATTATTAATAATATGCTGCTCTTTACAGAATTGGATGCTTATAGAAGACAGGCACATTTTCTAGGGTATTTTCTGTCTCACAGATTTTGATAAAATCACTGATGTGTGTTTGGAAGAAGTTTTTACTTCTCAGAATGAGTCCAAAAAGTGACTGACTTCAGCATTTCCATGTGACCTTGAACTTCAGGCTCCTTCTCCGACACCTCTCCGACACTTGGTCTCTTTGTCTTCATAAAAGATTGTAAGGTTTCAGTGAACATTTCTCAGTTTCATCTGCCTCAGATACTGCTTGCTCAGCCAGGTGCTGGCAGTTTTGCTTGTAGTTGGTTTTTAAATAGAACTGGAAGTAGATCCTACTCTATCAATGATTGACAAATTAGCAATATTTCCTTTGCTTCCTTGCCCATCTTTCTTTCCTCAAAACCTCAGAATCAGAATCTTTGAAAAGAATCCCATCTTGCTTCTAAAGTCTCTGGAATGATCCATATTCTTTGTTGTTTCCATTTGCCAGAATGCACAGGAGCAAACCCCTGCTCCTCCTGCTTTGGAAAATGTTACGACATAAATGTCTGGTTCTTCTGAACACTCTTGTTCCAAGCACAGACTAATTATTAGCTTGGGAGGCTCTGCTCTTTTTTTCATATGTTGGGATCCTCGCCTACATAAATGAAGACAGGAAAGACACAGAGATGTTAGGACGTTTCTATTTTCTTCTTTCCTGAGTGGGTTCTCCTAAAAGATGTCGGCGCTCAATTGTTGGCTACCACTCTGTGGCATTTAATTATTCTTGACATTTAATCTATCATGGTGTGAAAAAAAAAAAAAAGGAAAATGCAGCCTGTCTCCTCCTCCTCTTCCAAGAGAAACAATATAATAATTAAGATGGTAACTAAAGTTCTAAGAATAATGAGAAACCACATAAAGAGTAGCATTATATTACTCTTAGAACATTAACAGGAAATAAGTTCTGAGGCTTTCTCCCCCAACTTCATTTTTTCCCCTTTCCAGATAATCATGAGTCATCATCCTGTATAAATGAAAAATAGTTTAATTTAAATAAGCCAATATTGTTTGGAGGTAGTTTATCACCTCACAGCTCTCATTCACAGTCCAGCCATGTGGAACTACACAACTTTCTTTTTGTGCAGTGGAGCAGGAAATCGGGTTGAGTTTGGGAGGCCTTACTTCTGCAGGTTTGCATTTGGTGACCAAATTCAACACTGTTCTAAGTAAGGGGGTGGGTGGGACTGGGAGTGAGATGGGGAAACTGAGAGCTGCCTTGGGAGGTTTTGGGCTGTTGCACTTGTGATTTCAGGCACAGAAGCTGGATTTGGGTTTACATAGTAGTATTTATTGATGTGTGTGTGTGTGTGTGTGTGTGCACATGTGTGACAGAGAGAAAAAGGCGGACAAAGGGGAAGAGAGAGAGGAAACTGATCTGAAAGCATAATTTTTTGATAAGAACAACCCTAAAGGACAGGAAAAGGGACATTTTTTAAAGGCCAACTATAGAAATTGGATTCATATTGTTAGGATTACTGATAGAAGGCAATGGAAAACTCAAAAAATCACTCCTCAGCCAGCACGTTCAAATGATAAATTGCATTTAAGTACTGAAAGAAACAACAGCTGCAGTTAATGAAAAGCCAAATTTATCTAAATTTCTCCAGTTGATCAGTCAAAATCATCAGTAAATGGTTCTCACTCCATAATCACTTTTTTGGCAGGGGAGGGTTGAGGAGTGAGAGGACAAAGAGAGAAGATAGATTTTTATTTTTAAAGGTATACCTTCCAAAAAGGAGGTCAGTGTGGAGCTAATCTGTGAGCAGTTGTAGAAAATACATTTTCCTGATACCCATATCGTCAATACTCTAGATTTGTTGTTTCATTTTTTAACCCTCCTTAGAATAACACAGTTGGCTCCTGTATGAAATGAAGATTTTCGACATAGGCTGGAGACAGGAAATCCAGGAGGAGGCTGTGATAATTCTACAAATCTGAGATGCTTTCCAGGACATTGTTACGTCCATTGAGTGGCTTTATTATCACGGCACCTGTGAAAGAGACAACCTGTATTGTCTGGGGCTATTTTACACAGAAGGAGACTGAGGTTTTTTTTTTTTGGGGGGGGGAAGTGACTTACCCCAAGTCAGCTAATAAGCTCTTCTATGAGCTGGGGAGAGAACAGGGTGTCCACATGTCTCCCTAAATGCTTTTCGAGGAAACAGAACACGTTCCCTCTGCCTCACTTCCTTCCATGGTGAAAGCAGGAAAATCCTGTCACAGAAACCAGTTGGAGAAGCTGCCATGAAAGGCTGCTTGGGGCCAGCTTCCCTCCAGCACAGAGCTCTGCGCAGAGCCTGCGTGTGGCGTGGAATTCCATTAGAACTTACTCACCATATGTTTGTTTGCTGGTGTTCAATGGAACCTGGGGGAGGGCATAATGGATCTCCGTTGCTAAACCGTGTGGAAGGCTTCCAGAGATTTAATAGTCTTCCTCCAGGTGATGAATGGAGGGGCTCTCGTATTCCTTGCATAATCAGGGAGCCTTGGTGCTCTGAGCATGCCATACTCTCCTCCGCACCCTTCTGGAAAAGTCTGTACATCTGGCACTCCTGGAGTCATTTCAAAAAAATGGAGATGTGGGGAGGGTGGCTTCCTCTCATCTTCCCTGAGGAAAGATCTGTGGGACGAGATTGCGCTGGTAGCTGGAGATTTTGAGTAGAGGGAAGTAGGTAGGGAGAGTGGAGAGGTGAGAGTTCAGAAGTCATTTTGGGGACCTGGGTGTCCCTCCTTTCAGCTGCAATGGTCTGCTCATTCCACCAAGGCCAGGGTGGCACAGGGCTCTGCGGGTGATGGCTGGGGGCTCCCAGGAGCTTTGTCGTGCACGATGCCCGGAGCCAAAGGTGAGCGACTGCTGGTACCGCTGAACCATGAGGCTGCCAAATGGCCATGAAATTTTATTCCTTCCAGTTAATTTTCTCACTGATGTGCTTTTAATTCATACGGTGTGGAAGAAGGCTGGAAGGTATTCATTGCAGGGGGGTGACAGAAATAGAACCACGGCAGAACATTGTTGTTATACCTGCCAGGGCACTGAGCACTTGAAAAAGTAGGTGCTCAAGGGGACGGAGTCTACAGGCTCTGGAGGGGCAGGCACCAAGCTGCTGTGTAAGTGAATGTCAAGTCTAAACAGAGGGGAGGGTGGAGGCAGGCACGGGGCAGGTTGTTAGTTCTTTTCCCTCAACCCTGTGGCTCTCTGCTATCCCCTCTGATCTTTCCCCATCTTTGAGCTGACATTTCTCACTCCTCCCTCATTTCCTGCCCTTTTTTGATAGTCAAACCCACAAATTAAGTCCTACCATGAAAACCACAGCTCACGCCTCCAGTATGGATTCCGCACTGCACCAAAACATTAGGGCATTGTAGGGACCCCGAGGAATGTGTGGGGTGGGTGGGATGCTGGGTGTTCCATGCTGCGGCCATCTTTTCATGGACTTGACTAGGATCTGGGCATGAAGTGATCTTGTATTATCCTTCCAATTTAAGCAAACTGTGAGGCATTCATTTTCTTCACTCATTCAGCGTCTACCACGTGGCAGGTACTGTTCTGGGCACAGGGAGTACAACAACAAACAAGGCTCAGTGGTTGCCCTCTAGATGCTTTGTGGGCACGACATCAAAATAAGCAGGAAGTTGTGGTATTTAGTGTTAGGCGTATGGCAGGATTTTCTTTTTTCCTCATCCCTTTGTTTAGTCAGGAAACTCCAGGAATTGAGAAAGGATAATTAATTGGGTTTATTGTAATGTTAGTTAGAGAGAGGGTTTTTAATGTAACTTAAGGTTGGGCACAGGCAAATGTTCTTTTAGGATTATGAAGTAGAAAATTGTGTCAGACACTAGCCAAGGGTGGGGCTGGGCATGAATCTCCTGTCCAGACCTAATGAGCAGTTATTGGCTCGTTGATCACACCCCAGCCCCGATGTCGGTGGGAGATGCGTCTGAAGTTGTTTTTAGGTACTTGAGAAGAATAAAAGAAGTCTGAGCCAGAGTGGGGGACACCTTCTCCACTCCCCCAGCTCCTGGCACCCAAATCTCCCCTTGTTCTTCTTTCAGCAGCAGAGGAGGGAAAGAACAGCTTAGACCCTAACACGTGGCAGGCTTTGAGCCTTGCAAGGTTGAGGATGTGCCAAGGCTGGGGGAAGAGAATTAACCTTAGGAATGGAAATATCAGGGACTTCCAGTGCAGAGAAACTGGAAGAAAGAATGTTGGAAAATTTGGGTAGTTCAGCCAAGCCTTACTTGGTTACACCGGTAGTGATGGTGGTATTCTCAGGGTGCAACAGGAGAGCAAAAGAAGGGTTTCTAACCGAGATTAGGGTGGGAGGGTTTAGGGAAGAGGAGAGTGGAGGAAGGGTGCCCTTTTCTAGAGGAGGTGACATTTCTTCCTGGTTCAATCTTGGTAGGTTGTATGTGTCTGGGAATTTATCTATTTCCTCTAGATTTTCCAATTTATTGGCATACAGTTGCTCATAGAAGTCTCTGGTGATGCTTTGGATTTCTGTGGTATCTGTTGCAATGTTTCCTTTTTCATCTCTGATTTTATTTATTTGGGTCTTCTCTCTTCTTAGTCTGGCTAAAGATGTATCAATTTTATTTATCTTTTCAAAAAAACCACCTTTTTGATTTGTTGATCTTTTGTATTTGTTTGGTTTTAATTTAATTTATTTCTGCTCTGATCTTTATAATTTCTTCTGCTAATTTTGGGTTTGGTTTGCTCTCGTTTTTCTAGTTCTTTGAGGTGCATAATTAGGTTGTTTATTTGAAGCTTTTCTACTTTTTTGATGTAGGCACTTGTTGCTATGAACTTTCCTTTTATTACTGTTTTTGCTGCATCTTATAGGTTTTGTTATGTTGTGCTTTCATTTTCATTTGTTTTGAGAAATTTTTCAATATCCTTCTTAATCTCTTCACTGACCCACTGGTCACGCAGGAGCATATTGTTTAATTTCTATGTGTTTGTATAGTTTGCAATGTCCTTCTTGTTATTGATTTCTAGTTTTACTCCATTGGGGTCAGAGAAAATACCTGGTATGATTTCAACTTTACTGAATTTTTTAAGACTGCTTTTATGGCCTAACATATGGTCTATCCCTGAGAATGATCCATGAGCAGAGGAGAAGAATGTGTATCTACAGCTATTGTATGAAATGTTCTGTAAGTATCTGTTAGGTCCCTTTGGTCTATGAAGCAGATTAAGTTCAATGTTTCTTTGTTGATTTTCTGTCTGGATGATCTGTCCAATGTGGAGAGTGGAGTGTTGAGGTCTCCAGTGATTACTGTATTGGTGTCTATCTCTCTCTCTCTTTCTCTCTCTCTCTTTTTTTTTTTTTTTTTTTTGAGACAAAGTCTCACTCTGTTGTCCTGGCTTAGTGCAATCTCAAACTCCTGGGCTCAAGAGATCCTCTTGCCTTAGCCTCTTGAGTAGCTGGACTCCAGGTGCGTGCCACCATGCCTGACTAATTTTTTCTATTTTTAATAAAGACAGGGTCTCACTGTTGTTCAGGCTGGTCTTGAATTCCTGGGCTCAAGTGATCCTCCTGCCTTGGCCTTCCAGTGTGCTAGGATTATAGGCATGAGCCACAGTGCTCGGCCTCTCTTTCTCTTTAGCTCTGATAATATTTGCTTTGTATATCTGAGTGCTCCAGGGTTGAGTGCATATACATTTGTTATATCTTCTTACTGAATTGACCCCTTTATCATTATATATTGATTTTCTTTGTCTCTTTTTATAGTTTTTGTCTTGAAATCTACTTCATCTGGTAGAAATATAGCTACTCCTGCTCTTTTTTGGTTACCATTTACGTGGAATATCTTTTTTCATCCCTTTATTTTCAGACTATGTGTGTCTTTATAGGTGAAGTGGGTTTCTTGTAGACAACATGTAGTTGCCTCTTGTTTTTTATCCATTTTGTCACTCTGCTTCTTTTGATTGGAGAGTTTAGTCTGTTCACATTTAGTGATATTATTGCTGGGTAAAGATTTACTACTGCCATGTTGTTATTTAATTTCTGGTTGTTTTGTGGTCTTCTCTTTCTTTCTTACTTTCTTCCTGTCTTCCTTTGTTAAAGTGATTTTCTCTGGTAGTGTGTTTTAATTTCTTGCTTTTTATTTTTTTGTTATATGTTGTAGGTTTTTTGATTTGAGGTTATCATCGGGCTTGAAAAAAACCATTTTACAATGAATTATCTTAAACCTGTGATGACTCTGCTTACAAACAAAGAAACAAATAAACAAGCAAATAGAAATCTAAAAGAAATTCTACCCTTTAACTCTACCCTTTCCACTTTTTAACTTTTTGTTGTTTCCATCCATATCTTTTTATATTATCTGTCTCTCAAAAAGTTTTTGTAGTTATTTTTGATAAGTTTGTCATTTAGTGTTCCTACTCAAGATATAAGTGGTTTATATACCACCATTATATCAATAGAGTATTCTGTATTTGTGTTCTTAGTGTTACCAGTGAGTTGTGTACCTTCAGAAGATTTCTTATTGTTCACTAACATTCTTTTCATTCATATTAAAGAACTCCCTTTAGCATTTCCTATAGGACAGATATGGTGTTGATGAAATCCCTGAACTTTTGTTTGTCTGGGAAAATATTTATTTCGCTTTGGTGTTTGAAGGACATTTTTGCAGGATATAATATTTTAGGGTTAAGATTTTTTTTTTCCCTTCAGCATTTTGAATATGTCATGTCACTCAGTCCTGGCCTGTAAGAAGAAAGTGGAAAGAAGACTTTCCACTGAGAAGTCTGCAGCCAGACTATTGGAGCTTCGTTATATGTTATTTTTTCTTTTTTCTTGCTTCTCTTAGGACCTTTTTTTTAATCTGTGACCTTTGGGAGCTTGATAATTAAATGCCATGAGGTAGTCTTGTTTGGATTAAATCTTCTTGGTATACTATGACCTTCTTATTCCTGAATATTGAGATCTTTCTCTATATTTGGAAAGTTCTCTGTTATTATTTCTTTAAATAAGCTTTCTATCCCAATCTCTATCTCCTCTTTACGGCCAATGACTCTCATATTTGCCCTTTTGAGGCTATTTTCTAGATCTTGTAGGCATGCTTCATTCTTTTTTATTCTTTTCTCTTTTTTCTCTTATGACCATGTATTTTCAAATAGCCTGTCTTTAAACTTACTAATTCTCTCTTCTGTGTGGTCAATTCTGCTGTTGAGAGACTCTGATGCATTCCTTAGTTTGTCAATGGAATTCTTAAGCTTCAGAATTTCTGCTAGACTTTTTTTATATTACTTCAATCTTTTTGTTAAATTTTTCTGATAGGCTTTTAAATTCCTTCTCCGTGTATCTTGA